TCGCCATGTGTTTGTGTAGTCCCATATACATCATTCTGTGTACAGTGCTTGTAACTTTGCCAAGATTTGGCCAAATTTCTTATCATTTTGATGATTCCAGAACCTTGCAATACACACGAATACTTATATACTAGATGATCAACCTTTTCTGATAGATTCCACACCCATTTCTTTCACAATGCAACCACATGACCAGAACTCAACTTTATCTTTAATGAGGATAAGTCGAACTTGATTTCATTGACAGGCAGGTATAGGCTCAGCACCATGACAATAACAATCTTGCACGATGGGAGTAGTCAAAATGTCATTTATCATAGTCCAGTGATTGACAGATACATGTAGCATGAAGATAAAAATAAAAGTGATTTTAATTATCTCAATTTGATTACTGCTAAAATAGTTGCAGTGCGCTTCTCAAATTTGTCAACAGTTATCATCTTCTGTTGAGCGCCAGAAGGGCTACAACTACAGGAGTTAACACCCTTTATGGCTCTCAACAGACATCATCATAAACTTTTACAAAATAAATATCCCAACCGTATGAATCAGTTTACAAAGTAAATGACAGATTGCCATGGAGCTGAGTCTATAAACTGTCAATTAATCAGGTTTGACTTGTCTACGTAACATCTATGTGAATTACATTGACCCAGCCCTTCCTTTACCATGCAATATATGTGCTTTTTCATTTAAAAAAAGCTTCAAAATTTGGAGAAGCGGTTGTGTTCTGCCTCTGCATAGTTGTATGGTGGAATCCTACAGGTTCTGACTGCAGCCTCGCTCCCACGCAGATTCAGTTCTCCAAATATGGAGTAGTGTGAAAATAAACATGAACAGCACGACCAGTGTAAATACAAGTTGAATGTTTTCAGACATGTGTTCTCATTTGGCCTATTCTTCAGGAAGTATTTAGTCCTAAAAATTCAACACAGTCTTAAAATGTTATAAACAGGCTATGTCTCTGTTCGATTTAGTTTTATTTATGATGTTTGATATTTATAGGCAATTTTTAACCTACATCAGAGAGACATTAAGAGGAGATACATGCAAGTACAAATGCAACATATATATGTGAATTTATTTGATTTTTGCCTACTATCTTTTTACATACATGATGTAGATTTGTCTCAGAAAGATAAATTTACAGAACCCAACATTTTATGGAAGCATCGTTCATATAGAGAAAAAATACTAAAAGAAGCCCTGGAGAATAGACCTACATTACTTTAAATTTGGGCTTCATAATTTCAGGGTATTTAGAATGAGAAACTCTCCTATGCTTAGGCATGAGATCAGTGTTTTTTGTTTAAAAAACAACATTTTCACTCATATTCAAGGTACCTATGCAAAGTTTCAGGAAATTTTGAAAATTGGATTGATAGTAATTCTTTAAAATGTTGATATATTTTGATGCCCCTGTGGATGTATTATAAGTACTAGGAAATTTGGCCCCTAAAACACTTCTGCTTTAGAGAAATTGAATAATCAAAAATTTACTGGTTCTCCCGGTAAGCTGCGACCATGAAAATCTCAGAATATGCAGTTGTGATATATAATTTCCAAACAGGAATAGCAAGTTGGTCAAGAAATATTGTTCTAGAGCTAAAGTGATGTCAGTCATGAGAGGGCGCTATACAACGTAAAGAGTTTATTATTGACAATTTATACCTTTAAACTCAATTTCAACTGCGATAATGGTCAATTGGTCATTGAATATTGTGAAATCGCATAGGCTTCTAATATATTTATTTGAACCAAGTTCATGAACCCTTACCAAAACTTTGTAATACCTTTAAGAAAACATAAGTGTACATCTTTGCTCTCAAATGATCATGTAATCACATAATTATTGTTCATACAAATAAAGTAAAAAAGTTATGTGCATTGCCACGTCAGACTTTGCTCAAGAATGTGCAAAATAATTGATTCTTTGCATTCATGAAATAAACATATTCACACACATTTTCTGCATTAAAAATTCACAGAAGTGCTGTCGTTAATGAATTTATTGGCAAACAAGTTTGAAGACGCTTGGAAGTAATGTGAATCAGTGCTTACATAGTGGGATCTAAATCCACAGCCTATCCATGCTTCAACCTTTTCCCCTGGTTTTGTCACGTTTCCAGGATCATAATATCATAGATCTGTCGTGACTCAGACAAAAGTCACAATACATGTCATGTATTGTATATTCTTTAGAGGAACCGAAGGAAGGACCACCTGATCTGTGGGATGACATGTTTGCTTATAACACTGTATGTCAAAGAGACACATAATATTTTCATTCAATTTGATATTTGATCTCAAAATTGATATTAGTGTGATATGTGAACTGAAGTGTATTCAGCGTTTGAGAATGAAGAGATGCAGACTAACCATCCGATGATACATGTACAAACTATGTCCAAACTAATTTCATCTGGGATTGAATTCTGATAACTCTTTTTAACCTAAAGATAATAACATAGAAGTTAATTTAGAAATTAACATTGGTCTTGGGGTCTTACAAGTATTATCAATTGGTTTATTTATATGTGAAATGCAGTAGATGTTTTTTTCTATTGTGTTTTTCATATTTGGTTTCTGTAAAAATATGATTCTGCAAATCTAAACATTTTGAGTATATTTGTAAAGCGCTTAGAGACATTTGTATTAAGCGCTATATAAAAATTAAATATTATTATTATTATAATTATTATTGAATGTAAAACATAGGTACGAAACATCAAACAAAAGGAATATAGAACCTTTTCACGAGCACCTTTGCAACAAAGGTAGTACATGTACATACCTGCCAACCACCCCGATTTAGGCGGAGTTTCTCCGCATTTTTCATACCAACTCCGAATTCCGAATGCATGCCTCAAAACTCCGATTTTTTTTTAATTTAATTTTTTTTTTTTTTTTTTTTTTTTTCTTTTTTTTTAGAGTGTAATGCACTTGGAGAGTATATAACTATTATGTTTGTATTTCGAAATGTAAAGCGCCTTGAGCATGTTCATGTAAAGGCGCTCAATAAATACCAATATGTATGTATGTATGTATATGTATAAGACTAAAGCATAACACAGCACTGAGTGATAACCAGATCACGCCGACATCCGCGCTCGCGCACATAGAAGATATACACAGCACAGCCCGAACGTGATCGTTAGTTCCCCCCCCCCCCCAATCTACGGGCTACTACCTCAATCCTTCGGTGGTTCGCGACCTCGTAGTCCATCCAGAAAAATTTACTCCTAATTTCTCTTGTCTCAGGATGGCAGGTATGCATGTATGTATGAACTGATGATACTCTATAGTTCATATACATTGTAGCTGTAGGCATGATCAAACGTGAAATGTGATTGGCTAAGAGTACTTTTTAAAAGTGATTCTCATTCGAGATTTGATGAGAAATAAGCATGTCAGGAGCATATTATTATTAACCTAAAAAAAGATAACATACCCTTAACTTAATAGATTTCAGAATACAGATTGAGAGGTGCAGTATGTTAAGGGCATGTATACATGTTAACTCTGCATGGGACTTAGTTGTTAGAATACTGATTTAGAGGTTTGTTAAATACATGTATATGTTTACATGTAGCTGTGGGACTTAAAATGAACAAAGTTAACATAATACCAGTAGTGGCATACTGCACCTGATTGATGGCATGCAGTTCTAAATTAAGGCTTTGGTATAGATTAGCAGAAAGTTAATCCAAATGATCATATTAGAAAGCGAATGTTACTCCATACAGTGTACACTTATTGGTTATTGATATATTTTTTCAGTATTCATGAAAGCATTAGTAATACATATTTATTCAGGCAAACACAATCATAAGGTAAAGATGAATGGATTATTTAACTCCCCTGAAACTACAATCTCCACCTCATTTTTGGGGTGTAAATATCAGTGCCACCACATTCAACAATTTCAGAAAGAGTTCCAAAAGTTCCTTGTTTCAATATTTTTGATATAATATGGGATGAATATACATGGACTCTTTGCCTTTCAGTTCACAAATGGGATTTTTGCACTGAATTGAAAACTTGAGTGATGAAGCATTTGACTTGAATAAATTCTTGATAAAGCTTTATGACCTGAGATCAAACACTCAATGGTGAAAAGTACATGTACATGTAGTTGAGAAATTCCTTATTTGTTATTTAGGTAGGAGTTCAGAAGTGAGTCATAGACATTGTTGAGAGAGAGAGAGAGAGAGAGAGAGAGAGAGAGAGAGAGGGGGGGGGGGAGGGGAGAGAGGATATATACATATGTTTATATATATTTAAATATATACAGAGAGAAAGAGAGAGAGATATTGGGGGGGGGGGGAGAGAGAGGGGAGAGAGGATATATACATATGTTTATATATATTTAAATATATGCAGAGAGAGAGAGAGAGAGGGAGATGGAGACACTGAAACTAATTTCAGGTACAATTCAACTTTGGTAAGTGAACAATGAAAGTTTCTGAAATTTTGCTTACAAGTGCAGATACATTCAATAGTTCAGAGCAATATTGATATATTAATATTCTCATATTATATATTTTGGTAAAGTCATTGTACATTTGCAGGTCCCTGGTTAGGCTGCAGTTGTATATTTAATGTATTACTAATGTCAATCAAATGTTTCACTTATCCTGTATTCATAAAGACATATAATCATATATTTGTTCACTTGAGGACATGTAAGATCTTGTTTCCAAAGACATACATGTACATACATGTACATCAGAAAAATCAATCCATTCCAACCTACAAATTGAGATTTAAAAAATAAAATCTGATCAGTTTGTATCTTAATTTTCTTTTTGGTTCCACACTCAGATTAACTGTTCTATGAAGGGTCGATTCCTCTTGTACATCCATAACAAAATTAAAAAAACAAATGAATGAATGAATGAATAAATAAATAAATAAATGATTAAATAAATAAATAAATAGATAAAATCAATAATGTACTAAAATACTATATTTTCTTTCTATTTTTGTTGTCATTACAGAGGAGCATGGATTGGAGTTTACCAAGCCAGGTTGTTTTGATGCTATACATCTTATTAGGTGGAATATACAGTATATTGTCTTACAATACAAACAGAAGAAGCTTTATCATTGTGAGAATAAACAGGTTTGTAATCTCAACTATTTTTAGAATTCATTTACATTCAATTCAATTCAAAGTTTATTCAACACTCTTCATAAAAAATTGTTCCACACCAAACTTCTTCTATAAATTGTTCGTAAAAATATTATCAATTAAAGTACAAGACCTGTCAGTTATTCGGGTTGGACAATGAATCATGGGATATAAAAAATGAGTCATCAATAATTCTAAAAAATCATTAACAAATTGGCAAGAGTTAACATCAAATAAATTAATATTAAAATCGCCCATAAGATATATGTCTTTTTTTCCTTATGAACAACATTTAAAGTATTTTCTAAAATATCTAAAAACGATTGCACTGGTTGATGTGGAGGCCGGTAAATAACACCAATTAAAACATTTTTCTTTACCTTTTCAATTTCTATAAACATTGACTCAAAACATTCATTATTTACATCTAAATCCTTACGTTGTTTATATTTCAATTTCTCATTTAATAAAAGTCCTACACCTCCTCCTTTCTTACCTTGTCTTACATTCAATAAAAAAAATATAATTATTAAAATCATAGAATGGGTCAGCCTCTTTAATCCAAATTTCAGTAAAACCAATTGCAGAAAATTGCACATCAATAGCATCTAAAAGCGAACATATTGCACTATAATTCTTATTTAAACTACAACAATTTATATGAAGGTAACTTGATGTAAAATATACTTTAGAATGAGAATTAAAAGTGTTTAAACATGAATTAATTCCTCGGACGTATAACAAGAACTATTTGGTCCATATTCTTCATCCTCCTCTGTAGTTGGACTCAATAACTGATGTATATCTTGGGGTTTTATAGGCATCTATATTTCACATTTATTCCGATCATTTTCACTGGCATTTTGACATAAAAAATAAAGAGAAAATAGAAAAACGTGTACATGACACAGATAATATAAACAAACACACAAAACTAAGGTTACGAAACATTTATGAAACTGGTAGAAAAAAAGGTACTTCCTTTGTTAAAATGAAACAAGAGTTAAGAGATCTATGAATAACTCCATCCCACAATGTATAATTACATATATGATTGCATAGAGTATGGTTTACAATTTTCCCCAATTTCACTTTCTGTCCTTACATGTATATACATTCTGCTCTTTTGACCCATTTTTTGTCTAACACTACTTTTGTTCATCCCCTTTCTTTCTCAATTTTTTTTCCCATTGAAAACACTCGGTATATTTGTGTATAAAACAGAGCCTGTGAATATATGTCACTCTTATAACTATATCAAAATTATTGTGAATTTGTGAGTGATATATTACTTCTTGCTCCCCTTCCCTTCTATATCTTCCACACTTCTCAAAAAGTACTCTCTCTTATACCTAGAAAAAATTCTAATTCAGTTACTCAGTCTGATAAAGTCATGAAAAGCCAGAGATAGACAGTCCCAGGAATGATATTTAATCCTAACGAACATGCACGCTTCGTGTTGACTCCAAATCTCAGTGATGAATGCTGCCATCGAATGTTCGTGTTCAGTTACATTCCACTATGAAACGAGGCGGAAATTGATGTATTGTGACCGTCCCAGATTTCATGAAAGTGGAACCCCTCAATCCTTCTTAATTCACCCAGTTTAAAGGGGTTGTTCTGAAGAAGGATTGAGCATTAACAAAAAAGTGGTGTTCCAACATTTGTTCTGGCAACAGTTACTCCAGGGGGGTGTTTCACAAAGATCCTAAGTAGAACTTAACACTAAGTTGGACTTAAAAATTATGGACAGCCATTGGAGCCTTAAAATGAAATATATTCAAAAGCAGAAATTCAAGTATTTTAGACTTTTTATAAATTCCACAACAAGAACATGAAATCTCCTTGATGATAGAAAATATGAATGATTTGAATCAACATTTTATGCCTTTCAAAATAACTTTTACAAAATATTTTCAAAGATGCTAATGGCTTTCCATAATTTTTAAGTCCAACTTAGAGTTAAGGTCGACTTGGGATCTTTGTGAAACACCCCCCAGGCATTATTTTGTCAAAGACGCAGGGCCATTTAGGCTCATTCAGATGTGACAGAGCTAAACTTTATCTTTTTAATGAAGACGATAAGTGCAACATACTTCACATTTCTTAATCTTTAAAGGGATAGTTGAGTTCTGTTGCTGAGGGCGCTACACAAAATAATTTTTTGTGAGATAATGAAAAACTGCGTGTCAAATTTGAAAGAACATAATATTTAACTGACAAAATCATCTTTGTTTGATCAAAATCGGTTAAGAGACGGCTGAAATAACGATTTCTAATACTTTCGTACCACCACAAATATTAGATATTTTGAAAAATTTGAAAAAACCGTTGAAAAAAACAAAATAACGCCTTTTACGTCGCATTTCAGCCAATGCCGATGTTGTTTTTTGTTGGCATTTTCGTGTTGCTTATATTACCCACAACTAGCCGGCTCATGTATTGTTATTTTTAATTAAATAATTAATTAACGGTCACCATGTTTTTTTTAAAGGTGAAATTCAAAGAAAATCACAAATATGTCAACTAATGTATCACTAGAAACTGGTAAGCTAACAGATGGCCATCGTACAAGTTTGAGGTCAGCTACATATCGGGTGATTTATAAAAATAAAAATACAACCACCTCCATAGCAGCTGGGATATACGAGAGATTCGCCAGAAAAATAACGATGTTTTAATGACGTCACAACAGGGACCAATACTGCCCAAGCAGACGACATCCCATAAAGAATGAACATAATTGCAAAGCTATTATTTGTCAAATTATAATGAGTTTGGTGTATATAAATGTACTGGCACGTCAAACCGATCAAAAGGGGACATGACCCGATTCTGATAACTAAAATCTTTTGCTTGTAAATACACAGGATAGGGGTTAATTAACAATCAAAGAAACCAGCCTTTCAAATTGAAAAGCCCCCGGATTGATATTAAGGACGGCATTTGTTCCCTCTTGAAACGCCGATCATACCGCGGTGTGTGCAGCTGAATATACAATGGCGTCTTATTTTGTTTACAAGCGACAGATTCCTTTATTTTTGTATCGTTGCATTTGTCATCAAAATAAAACCATGCGCGGGGTTTAGAGTGAGGCAATAGATTATACATTTAGCCTGGCGGTAGTGAAGTAAGAGAAAGAACTCAAGAGAAGATGAAAATACAGGCACTGAAAATGTGTGAGATGTCATGGTACATCGTCTGCTTGTGCAAATCATGTCCCTGCTGTGATCTCACACATCTCAGCAGTGTTCGGAGAGCTATTCAGGTGCTATGTCGGGGCTGTATCTAAACGTTTTGTAATTCATAATAATCATTACTTCGAATGTTTCCAAGCATTGAATTTTGATAACCTTGTCGAATCAAAGTTTCAACTTTGCAATAATGAAAATAAAGCTAGATTTAAAATCATTGAATATCTACTTTAAAGTGGAGCTGAATTGGTATGATCATATTGGCTAAATTTCACACATTTTGGGGTCTAAAATTACCTTCTTGGCAATTTTAGGTTCTAAAAAGGCACTACAAATGTCATAGATAAGAATAAGAGCAATAACTATGCACTATGAAGGCATTTGCGGTCTGAAAACAGAACTCAAGTATCCCTTTAACACAGAGCTCAGTAAATACATGTAAGTCCTTTAATTTTGTTAATGAGAATGATGATGGTAACCTTTTTTTTTTAATGTGCTAACAAGTCCTCTCTGTATTACAAGTGATATGTGCAGGCCTTTCATCCCATTTTCATAGACTTCCTATTTTCAAATACTTATGTATATTATCCAAAAGACGTATTGTTGATTTTCTATGGAACTAAATGCATATAAGACTTTGAGACCTGAATATTATATCTGACATAGAAACTGTTGAAAGATTGACAGGGTTGGGTCATTCACATTTCTTTTGATGGTTGTTAAAGGTAATACAAAGTTTTGGTATGGGGTCATGAATTTGGTTCAAATTAACATTTTGGAAGCATGTGCGTTCCTACAATATTCATTGATCATTGTCGCGGTTGAAATCGAGTCTAAATTTATGAAATTATAAATAATAAACTCTTTATGTTGTATAGCTCCCTCTCAAGGTCAAGATATTAATTTAGCTATAAAACAATGTTTCTTGATTAAAATCGACCGATTAGCTATTCCCGTTTGGAAATTATATATCACAACTACATATTCTGAGATTTTCATGGTCGCACCTACCATTGTACTGCCATAGGCGCTATTTGAAATTTATCAAAATTTACCGGGAGTACCGGTAAATTTTTATATTCAATTTTTCTCGAAAACAGAAGTGTTTTAGAGGCTAATTTTTTTAGTGCTCATAATACATCCACAGGGGCATCCAAATATATCAAAATTGTAAAGATTCACTATCCACCCAATTTTCGAAATTTTCCAAAACTTTGTATTACCTTTAAAGCATCACAATATTTAACAAAGGAGATGAGAATGATAAATATGAGGAACAATAGAAAGATAGTGAAATGACATCATGACAAATGTTATCAGGGGGTAAATAGTATCTCTTATTTCAAATATGATCCTTGAATGTTGGACATATTACATATTCCAAATGGGAAACCCATTCACAATGCAAAATCTAAAGAACTATGAGAATTGCCATTGCGTACAGGTAGTAAAAAAATGTAATACAAATATTGCTAAGTATATGAACATTGTTTATTTTTTCTTCATAATAAGTTTCAATTTAATTCAATTACGTTATTTAATAACTTCCGGAGCCTATGACCTACAAGCATCGCTTTCTCTTTAGGCTCCATCACATTTCTTCCTTTATTTAACTTAGTCTTATGTATTGTTCTTTTTGTTTGTATAAATGCATCCAAAAATGATTACAAAAATGTAACATGCCAAATGTACAATGTAATGATGTATTATACAACATGTGAAATATGAAAATAAACTGAAACTGGAACTGAAATATTCATTCTCCAGTGACACACTATAAGGTCTATTGGAAAGTGGAAAAATAGCAGTGAGCTTTTTGATAGAAAATGGGAAAAGGAGATAACAATTTAGAGGAGATGAAAGTATGAATGTTTTATTATAACTAGATCAGACCAAGAGGTTAGTAACTTCTTGATCAGACCTCCCCTTCAGACTACCAAGATTCATTGTATAACTATACAAAAGGATTTACTGTTTAGCTTTATGATATACGATAGTTAATTAACTTTTTTCCAGTCTGAACATCGTACAATGAAACGTGTATGAAACATTGCATAGCGAATTAATCATTTGAGCATCATTTCAAACAAAAACTTGATATAGAATTAGGTTCCATTTCTAATGTGTACATCAGATCATATGAAATTCATAAAACTGGTCAGGGCTTGTTGTAAGTGTCCACTAATGATTGACCAGCTGTCATGTCCACTGTCCCCTTCAAAACTAGCTTCTTTTTAAGCAACGGTTCTTTACACAAAGTCTGCATGACTTTCCTGTAGGCTGCATGAACAGGCTAGTAGCAAGGAACTCTCCCTTTCTTGTAAACGGCTGATAATTGAAGATTAGCGGTATTTTGGGCAATGCTGTGGTCAGAGTTCACAATGAAGGTAGAATTTTATTGTGATTGTTGGCATCTGAAGCGTGAAAAGAAGGTGGGTTGACATAGTAGATTCAAGAATCTGTGGTACTGGTCTCTAACTACATGTATATACCCAAATTAAAGAATTGAGGTTTCGAGAAAAAATGGTCTAGTCTTCCACTGTTCTGTAAAAGTACTCTCTCTTATACCTAGAAAAAAATTATAATTCAGTGGCTCATTCTGCTAAAGTCATGATAAGCTTGTTTGCCACACATGGGCAATTCCACGGTAACGGAAGGACACTCAGACAAGATTTTTGAACTTCAGGTTCATACTAAAAGAAATGTTTTATTAGTATGTATTAAACTATGGGGAACAAAATGTGTTTCAGTCAAGTGGAAAGCTTCATCAACTTCACAAAGTTTGGATAAACACTAATTAACTGGAAAAACCATGTCCATTTTTATGTCCTTCCGTTACCGAGATAATTAATATGCACATTCTTAAACTACTTAACTATAATGACAATTTTTTGGGGGAGAATTAAAGGCACTTATATAGGTATTATATCTGTACTGTTTCACATCTTATACTAATAAAACAGTTCTTTTAGTATGAACCTGAAGTTCAAAAATCTTGTCTGAGTGTCCTTCCGTTACCGTGGAATTGCCCACATGCAGTTTTGCACAAAACAATAGACACCACTAAAAAATAAATGTTATGTATTATTATTATTATTATTAAAAGAAGATTGCTTTGTGCAATATACAATGGCTTTGCAAAATCACCCATTTCTGCTATTGATTAGCTCCATTACAACATTTTCATCACTGGTATATCTTGCATGGGAAACAGTTCAAAATTTTTGAAGCCTTTGGTAAATCACCAATGTGATGAATACTACGACAGGGAGATTTTTTTGGTGGCTTATAAAGAGTTAAACATTCTTTTGTTTGTGTCATTGTTACTTACAGTCTGCTATAGAGATCCAACACCGAGCTCCTGGTCCTACAGTAAGACTGGATAAGGAGCAATGGAATCTCTATCAACCCTGGAGCGGGAGCTACAGTCTACCTTCATCAGCCTCACCCAAGGTCAGAAGGAGCCCCTCCCTCCTACGCAAGGCTCAAAAAGGTACGTCAAGTGGTGCATGGTTTCTATGGTGGTCTCACATAATATCTATGAATGGAGTGCATACACTCATACTCTTTTCACACTGGTTTTGCTTAACCCCGTACTTTGCTTAGCCCCGTACTATCCTTAACCCCGGACTATTTTTTTGGCTTTTCACACTCGCTGTTTTTAGTCCCGTACTACCGCCTATTCCGGAATAAGAAAATTCCCGCTGTTCTCACTGCATTTCGTTAACCCCGGATATCGTGTATGTTATGATAGGACATACTTCGCATCTGGCCAGCTGCGATACGCTCCATTGCGTAGTACCGGACTATTTTTCGTTTCTGTTCTCATTCGTTTGCTTAGCACCGCAATTGCGGGGTTAGCAGGAGTTAGCACCACAATTGCGGAGTTAGCCCTGCTATTTTGCAGGGTTAGTTAACCCCGTACTATAGGTGGGGTTAGCCAACTTTAGCCCACTTTGGTAAAAGCCAGTGTGAACAGAAAGTGGAATAGGCTTAACCCCGTACTATAGGTGGGGTTAAGACCCCCTTAACCCCACCTATAGTACGGGGTTAAGGAAAATATTGCCAGTGTGAAAAGCATATCAGAATATCTAAGATGGCCAAGTATTCAAGTAGCGTCTATACTAATTGAGGCAGAGGCGTATCAGAGATGCAGTTGCATTTGTCTTGTTTAGAGAATACTTTTTTTCTTCCAGTTTTTGAAGTGTACGCTCTAAAAAACTGAAATGTTAAATCACCATTTAAAAGGGCCGAGGAGTGACCACTCTTTCGAAATGGTAGATTAACCCTTTGAACATGATGGATCCAACACTATAAAGGTTGAATCTAGCAGGTTAAAAGAAACAATCTGACATTTTGAAAGAGTGGTCACTCCTCGGCCCTTTTAAATTGACATTTAACATTTCAGTTTTTAGAGTGTAGCAGTTTAACAAGCCTGGGTTATTATCTAAGGACTCCTCATAAGAATAGACGTGGATCACGGAGATAGGGGGGGGGGGGGAAGAGTGAGTGAGAGAGAGAGAAAGAGACATTCAGAGATAGAGAGAGAGAGAGAGAGAGAGACAGACAGACAGACATACAGACAGGCAGAGAGAGAGAGCAGGCTTGATAAAAACCCGATTTAAATCGGTTTCCCGATTTTTTGGATTTTTCCCGATTTTTTCCCGAATTTTTTCTTTCTTTCCGATTTAAAAAAAAAAAAAAAAATCCAGATTTTTTTTTTTTTTTTTTTTTTTATCATTTTTTTTTCTTCCCTATTTTATCCTGATTTTCCCGATTTCCCTCTTATTTTCTCTATTCTTCCATGTTTTGCCCTATTTTTTCCAATTTTCTTACTCGAAAGGGGGGAATGTTGTTAGATGCCATTTTTTCCCCCGCGAATCCTCTTCTTTTTTTTTACTCAAGGGGGGCGTAGTTGCTGGGAAAACAAAAAACCTATTTTTTTTTAGTGCTGACTATCACCCCTGGAGAGAGAGAGAAAGAGAAAGAGACAGACAGAGATAGAGAGAGAGACACAGAGAGAGAGAGAGTGAAGGGGCAATTTGAAGAGGGGGCAAGTGAAAAATGAGTGAAAAGATGGAAAAGATATTGAAAACAGTGAAAATAGATTTATATAGACTGAGAGAATTTATGCAGTATTAACACTTTTGATCATTGAAAACATAATGAATGGAGAATTGGAGGTATTGAACTTTTGATGGCTATTGTAGTAGCATATATCCAAGTTGTATAGTATCAGTGTATATATCACAGCTTCCTCAGGTCAAGCAAATCTGCCAGCTAATCAACATACCGGTACACACATTGTAATTTATATCACTCAAACATGATAACGACCAATATCAAAACGCCCATGGATGGTGGTTACCGGCAGTAAGATCTAGAAAATCTAACAGGATTAATAACTTGATGACTTTATCATGGGCCTGTTATATGTTAGGTATGCATATGTATATCTGTAATTTTCTTTAAAGGCCAAGTCCACTCCAAAAATACTTTTTCAAAAATTCATAACTTTCTTATTAGTTACCCGATTTTGCTCAAACTTGTTTTGATTGGTTTGTCTGATTTTTCTGTTTCTATTGAAAGTAAGTTATTTTTGGAGTGGACTCGCCCTTTAAGTATTTGACCTCTCCATATCTATGCTATCATCAACTACATGGACATGTACTTGTGCATCATTGGTCAATGGACATGTACTTGTGCATCATTGGTCAATGGACATGTACTTGTGCATCATTGGTCAATGGACATGTACTTGTGCATCATTGGTCAATGGTCAAGTACTTGTGCATCATTGGTCAATGTGACACTGAATATTGATGTCTGTGGAGGATATAATTAATGTAGCCTTATGCTATTAATCATTGTAATGACACAATGAGAATTCTCCATCTTCCTCTTCCTCTTTACTCTTCCTCCTTTTTGGGACCTACATACAGCTTTATGTCTTATCAGAGGGACTTGGCAACCAGTTGATCAATATTTCTCTTTAAAGGTAAAGGCCAGTTTTGGAAACGCCCCCCTCTCAAAAAATGAAATGGAAGCTTTTATTACCAATCATGTGAAAGAATATGTTTTGACTAATACATGATGATAACAATTTTGCCGGGAAACCGCCTACTAATTGATATATTTGGTAAATTAGTTTATCTATATTAAGGACCAAATAGATACTATGCACGTGTCATGCACGTATGCGTATACTCCCATATACATCTTTCTGGGTAAAGTGCTTGTAACTTTACGAAGACTGGGCCAAATTTCTTATCTTTTTGATGATTCCAGAACCTTGCAGTACACACCAATACTTATATGCTAGATGATCAACCTTTTCTGATCGATTCCACAACGTTTCTTTTACAATGCAATTGCATGACCAAAACTGGTCTTTATCTTTAATACATGTACCACCATCTAGACTTGTTTCTAAACTAATGTTTCTACCTCTACATGTATCTTTATCGGTCATAGACTCATAGCAATGATACATTCAGATCTATCCTCTTCCTCTTCTTACCCACCTTATCATTCAACAGGTCATAGTAGTTTATCTCAAATACATGGCCATTGTGAAAACGTGAAGTTCTTTTTGACCTTACATTTAATGACAAATCATGTCTGTACTCTGATGATATCCCTGTCATAGGATATAGTTACATTGTAAATAGTACATCATAGGTAATAGTTACTGTGAGTAGTACTTGGGAAATAGTTCTAAAACTAATTTTCACAGCATAGGGATATTTTTCATGAATAGCTGATCAAATCAAAGTGTATGTACCTATCACTGCACAAGTATTAGCAATATTTCTTCAATAGTTTGATCCCACAGAGATGACTGATGCAGAAATTTTGTTCCTAACACTTCTTTAACATGTCCTGCTTAATTAACCATTCAATATTCAAGTACAATATTAGTGAGGTTCACACAGTAGTCTATTACGACAGTCCTGTGTAAACATAGCTATTGGTTTATTGGCTGTAACTTGATATCGAGATATAGTCACACCTGTCTTAGTGGCCAAGTATTTTTTCTCCCTTGAGAAATAAATATGTGTTGTAGAACCCGTCTAAAAAGATGACCTGTCTACAGTGGCCACTTTTTCTATTTCACTTGAGTGGCCTTTATAGACAGTTTGTGATTTTGCTTATCATCTAGGGAAGTTCAAAATGATGATTGCCAGATTGTCTTTGTATATCTGTCTACTCATCTGTCTAATAATATTTGTTATAGTATGAAAGCACATTTCACTCTACACACAATGTTTGTGTACCTGCATGGCAACTGTTATTCAATAATTGTGCCTTTCTTGTCTGCATTGCTGCCCTCTCATGGCAGTGAACTTACAGGTTTTCTTTCTATTTCCATGGGCAGAAGTTATTCATCTGTTTAAAAAAAATGCACTTTAACTTCTGCATATTTATTTGAAATAACAAAACAAAAAAAGATTTACAGTACTATGGTAGATAAAAAGGAAACTTTTCTTGTATTCCATTAATGTACATGCTTTTTTCTTATTCATTTGTTTTCATTGCTTTGAAACAATTTAAAACAAAATAAGAAATCCCAAAAAATTGAATGGATTCTATGCCCAGTTCTTATATTTGCCATCAATTTATGTGTCCATATTGTATCTCAGACGCTTATATTGTGGAAGAGACCCCCTTCCTCCCCCCCCCCCAACCCAAACATGTAATTTGCACTTGAATGCATGCTTTACATGTACCTCAAGCACGCTTTTATCGTGAGAAACAAAACTTGCATGATTCATGAAAAATGTTGATTTCTTTTTTCTTCATCCAGGCATATTAGAGGCAGGAAATGAATTATAAATGTGATAATTCGGATTCCACTTATCTCTCTGTTACACCCTCCCCAGACTACAAAAACTAGAAAATTGTGTTCTTTCTTTTTCATGGGTTTTTATTGTAAGATGAATTATGAAAGCAAGTGTCTACTTTGGAAACAATTAATATTAAAAAATAATGATTAACCCATCTTCTTCCAGCATACCCAATCCTAAAGGAATTTCATGTGAGGGGTGTCTAACCAAATGCGATGAGGATTTAATTGGCATTATCTTACAAAGTGATCAATCCTCCCTAGAATTTTGTCGGTATGGTAGTCATACTATCATCTAAACCATGTGTGTGAATTTCCCAAGGATTTACGCTAGATCTAATAAGTTATAACTGATTTTGTAAAATGTATCGTTTTTCAAAAATTACAAAGAGAGCTAGTTGAATAGCTTCAGTGCACAATAATCACAGCTGACACATTTCTAGATTTAATTTTCATTTGTAAAATGTCATGAAGAAATCTTTAAAATATCTTTTACTAACAAGAAGCAAAATAACATATTTTAAGAAGTATCTGATGAATTTTTTAGTTATGTTTTATCATATTTAAATCGTTATGACCTAAGCAATGTACAGGAAGAAACACCCAAGCATTATTTTAAAAGAAATTAATTGTATTGCTCATTCTACTCTTCAAATATTCATTTCAAGTTAGGCAACAAACACAAAACAATAATTTTATGATATCCATTTTCAGACGATCTATGAACATTGC